ACATGCATACAGCCAGGCACGTTATGCACATACACGCATACAACTAGGCATGCTATGCCCATACACACATACAGCCAAGCATTCGATGCCCATACATGCATACAGCCATGCATGCTATGCGCATACATGCATACAACTAGGTATGCTATGCCCATAGACACATACAGCCAGGCATGCTATCCCCATACACACATACAGCTAGGCATGCCATCCCCATACACACATACAGCCAGGCATACCATGCCCATACACACACACAGACAGGCATGCTATGCCCATATACAGATACAGTCAGGCATGCCATTCCCATACACACACAGAGCCAGGCATGCTATGCCCATACACACATACAGCTAGGCATGCTATGCCCATACACACATACAGCCAGGCATACCATGCCCATACACACACACAGCCAGGCATGCTATGCCCATATACACTTACAGTCAGGCATGCCATGCCCATACACACACACAGCCAGGCATGCAATGCCCATATACACATACAGTCAGGCATGCCATGCCCATACACACAAACAGCCAGGCATGCAATGCCCATACATACATACAGCCTGGCATGCTATGCCCATACATGCATACAGCCAGGCACGTTATGTACATACACGCATACAACTAGGCATGCTATGCCCATACACACATACAGCCATGCATGCTATGCCCATACATGCATACAGCCATGCATGCTATGCCCATACATGCATACAGCCATGCATGCTATGCCCATACATGCATACAACTAGGTATGCTATGCCCATACACACATACAGCCAGGCATGCTATTCCCATACACACATACAGCTAGGCATGCCATCCCCATACACACATACAGCGAGGCATACCATGCCCATACCCACACACAGGCAGGCATGCTATGCCCATATACACATACAGTCAGGCATGCCATGCCCATATACACATACAGTCAGGCATGCCATGCCCATACACACACACAGCCAGGCATGCCATGCCCATACACACGCACCAGTCAATGTTGATAAGTTTGCGGCACATCACGTTGCCCACTACTGCTTGGTTGAATGCATTGACCTGAGGGGGTGAGCAGAGACACGGTAGGGACAGGCAGGGTAAGGAAAGGAGGAGGGTGTGGGGCGGAGAAAAGCCAAGCCACAGAATGTCGCACCGAGTCACACTGCTGGCTGCTGCGAGGTTGAAAGCATTGACCTGCGAGGGTGAGGTGAGACGCGGTAGGGGCAGGATCGGGGAAGGAGGGAGGCGTGGGGCGGAGAGAGGAGATATGAGAGAGGAGAGAGGAGAGAGGAGATAGGAGAGAGGAGATAGGAGAGAGGAGATAGGAGATAGGAGAGAGGAGATAGGAGAGAGGAGAGTGGACATAGGAGAAAGGAGAGAGGAGAGGGCAGAGAGGAGAGAGGAGAGAGGAGATACGAGAGGGGATAGGAGAGAGGAGAGAGGAGAGAGGAGAGAGCGCACGGCACCAGCGCGCACGGCGCCGGCGAGCACGGCGGCAGCCCCGGCGCGCACGGCGCCAGCGCGCACGGCTCCAGCACGCACCGGCCCAGCGCACACGGCGCCAGTGCACGGCACCACTGCGCACAATGGCCGTGCGCACGGTGCCACCGCGCACCGCGCTAGCATTCACGGCAGCGCGCACCGGGCCAGTGCGCACGGCGCCAGAGCGCACCGGACCATCGAGGACGGCGCCACCGCGGACAGCGCCAGCGCGTGCGGCGTCACCGCAGACGGCGCCAGCACGCGCGGCGTCAGCGCGGACGGCGCCAGCGCGCGCGGCACAAGGCGCACAGTGGCAGTGTGCAAGGCGTCGAAGCGCACTGTGCCTTTAGCACGCCAGCACGTCGCAGCGCCATAACGTGGCAGAGAGCGTGGTAGGGAGCTGTGGTAGGGAAGAACTGTGGGGAAGAATCTAGAAGTGCTAGACGAGCCAGCGAGAAGGGAGCTGTGGTAGGGAAGTGTTAAAGTAGCACTAGGCTAGGAGGAAGTGAAAGGAGGCTGCCATGGTTGTGGCGGCGGGGTTTAGCTAGGAGAGTAGGAAAAATGTCGAGAGAAAAGAGAGAGGATTAGGAAGAGAGAGGAGTACAAGGAGGGGTTTGTACCCTCTACAGAAAAGGTTCAGTAACAACCTACCAAGCCTATATAAATTATAACTTATATATTTTAACACACCCCCTAGGCTTGGTAGTCACACACCCACCCAACACACCACACACCCCCTAACCTAGCACCCCATTCCAGCCACAGTGACAGCGACACTAGGTCGGTCGACCCCACGGTGCGTGAGGCGGCGACATCGACCGCAGGGGCTGCGGCGGCGACGGCGGCAGCGGCGGCAGTGTCAACAGCGGCGGCGGCGGCGGCGTGCGGCTGCGTGGCCCCGACGCAAGCGGCGACAGCGGCGGCGGCGGCGGCACCCGCACCTCTCGGTGACGTGGCCAGGCCCCGTGACGGTGGGACGGCCGGTGGGAGTCAGCCGTCGACTGCGGCAAGATACAGGACACAGGGGAAGGGGGGCGGGGCGTGGTCCAGCCTCACGCTTGAGGCTGGCGTACGGGCAGCAGGTGTGGCGGCGCCATGAACGTCGCGCGGCAAGCTGACGTCCGACGACGCTGCCACGGCAACATTACGACGCCGTCACATCGCGGCGTCGATGCAGCGGTGGGACGTCGCCGCTGCGACGGTAAGCACGGCGCCGTCACAGCAGTGTGGCGTCGACGCCACGCGTCACGACACGACGGCACGGCAGGAACGGGCATGGCCGCCACGGCGGCACGGCAGGAAGTCGGAAGGCAGTGAACGAGAACGCAGCGGAAGCACGGAGGGGTGCAGGCCCAGGAAGGACGTCCTGCTCTCGATACCATGTTAAAGTAGCACTAGGCTAGGAGGAAGTGAAAGGAGGCCGCCATGGTTGTGGCGGCGGGGTTTAGCTAGGAGAGTAGGAAAAATGTCGAGAGAAAAGAGAGAGGATTAGGAAGAGAGAGGAGTACAAGGAGGGGTTTGTACCCTCTACAGAAAAGGTTCAGTAACAACCTACCAAGCCTATATAAATTATAACTTATATGTTTTAACAGGAAGAACTTCTTTGGGGAAGAATCTTGAAGGTGGCAGGGAAAATTGACTACAGTGAACGTTCTCTGCCTTCGCTTGACGCTGTGCAAATATACTGCCAAGGTCTAGCAAATCACGACTACAGTGAACGTTCTTTGCCTGTGGTTCCAGCAATTGCACAGTCAAACTGCAACTTGACAGTCAAGATCGAAACAAACTAATAAGGGAGAAAAAACTGCCCAAGTTTGCTTATGAGTTCAGCGAAAGACCCTGAAACTGTACTCATGCAACTGAAAACTCAAGGTTCCAAAAACTCAAGGTTCCAATAAATTTCGAAAAAAAATATGCAGTCACACTGGAACTTGACAGTCAACGTCAAAACGAACCAATCATCTTTACGGTGTGCCATGCCACCATCCCACGTGAAACACTGCAACTAAAAAGTCAAGCTTGAATAAAAAGCCACAACAGTAAAAATATTTTGCCTCTCGTTTCGGCAAAAATGCATACGTTCTAATACCGTATTCCCCCGGATAAAACACCCGCCGGAATTAATCACCCATGCGTGGTTTGGGCGGACCTGGGTGCTTTATTAAACTGGATATTCATACCACCCTAGTTTTTGGCATAAAACCTATACACCACCCCCCTGGTTCATTTTCAATGGATTTCTGTAGATTTTGCCTCTTATCAGAGTGTCTCTTATCAGAATCGCGCGTCACTGAGCAGTGCAAGCTCGATGCAAAGTGGTCTCAATGTCGTGTAGAACTGTTACCATGCCTGGAATTCCCGAGTATCATGCGAATGTTGCGAGCCTGATACTGTACGAGGCTCATGGGAAGTTGCCACTTGCCACCACGATGCTGTACAAGCCTGATTCCCGTCGAGGTTGCCACTTGCCACCACGATTTGACAGAACGTGACAACCTGTGACGCAGGCAACCTATGACTGTTTGCCTGCAACGTGGCATGACGATGGTCCTCCTCACCATATACGCGATCACGTGCAAGAATCGTCAAAATTCGCCACAAAAGAACTGTCTACAACACAATTCATAAACATAAAATTGTCATTCCATAGCCCCCGGGCGTTATACAAAAAGTGCCACTAATTACACCCCCACTAAATTTTCCATCAAAATTTTGTGCCACCCGTGGGTGTTTTATCCGGGGGAATACGGTAGCTACAGAGAAGTATACGCCTATTAACGTCATCATTAGTTTACTACATATCATACAACTATGGCATCCATAATAACCATTTGCTGTTGTTTTTCAACCAAACCTTTTTATCATGTTGAGATTTGTAGAAAACCCATGGCATTGTTCTCGTTTATACAGTTCTCATAAAAATCCCCTGATTGCTTCAAATCATGTTCACGCTCATCTCCAATCTGAAAAACAATTGCACATAGCTTACCTTACAAACGAACTATCTTACCTATTTATTTGCATGAGAGAATTGCTCTTTCATTTCAGGATTCTATCAAGCTGCTACGCAACCCCAACGACGCATTTGCGTCGAGCCTTGTTTGTAATTCTAATATATCTAAATAAGGAATGTGCTACAGAAAGGTGGCTGAAAATTCTCACTGAAGGGGCACCAGTGCCCCTCTTTCTGGCAGCGGACCCAGTCACATTCAGTTGCTATGTTCACTAGCCCATGATCAAGAATCAGCAGCACGGCACTTCCCGCCACGAACCGAACCGCCAAATTGACCTCTCGCCCTTTCCCGCCAAACCTCGACTGGCAAACCCCACCCCTCCGCCACGAGATTCACCGCGCAGTTCGGCTCTGCTAGGCAGTGCACAGCACACATCTCAAATCAGGAGCCAATGTGGGGGGAGGGAAGTTGGATGTACACTCCGATGTCTGTACTGTAAAAGGAAACTGAAATAGCATGAGGGCTCAGAAATAGCCCCTACAAACAGCAGGCTTGCTTCTTGCGGTGCTTTCGCTCAGCTAGGAAAAGTTTTCAGAACCTTTTACAGCAGCTCCCTGTCTCGTGAACTAGACTTCGCTCGTTGATTAGACCTCTCAAAGCCGAGCGACAAGTAAACAGGCGTTCACGGATCCCCCCACCTCCGAGTTGTTCAGGCATCCTTAATTTGCCGGGGGTTTTCTTAGAGTTCTCAAAGCCCCTCCGAGTCGATTGGCTTTAAGTTCGTGGTCGCGCGTCACCATGAAACAGTCGCGCGCGACGCTCGCGCTCCTGGTTCTCGCATCTTGTCTCGTCGGCTTCGCCGCGGCGCAGTCGTGCACGGGCGTGTGCACCGTTTCCGGCACCGCGCTCGTCAACACCGACTGCGTCAGCCAGTGCAACGTAAGACCGTGAAAGGCCTTCTTTCCCAAGAGCATCGACGCGTGTGTACCGTCCCCACCCCTCCCCCCCCCCCCCGCCCCCCCCTCCTTTCTCCGCACTCTCCGCGGAAGGATTCATCCCCCCCCCTCCTCATTCGCCCTCCCTCTTCCCCTTTCCTCCCTCTCCTCTGTTCCCCCTGCACGCCTTTTCATCACCTACCCACGGTTTCTTCCCACCTCTCCGCACCTTTCTCCGCCGCATCTTTCCGCACCTTCCCCCTCCGTATTGCCGTGCGCGCGCCCGCCGCCGAAGCACCGCAAAACTTCGCGCATTCCGAAAGGATGCCCGCGGGTCGGGCGGTGACGCTTGTCGCAACCGCGCGTTCGTTTCCCACGCGCGTTTTCCCCTATGGCTGCGCCACTTGCTCTCTCTGCCCCCTCCCCCCCTACCTCTCTCTCTTTTTCCTCCTCACGGCACTGATCGCGCCCCTTAGAACTGCGCACCATGCGCAAAGCTCACGCCGTACGGTTGCGCCACTTACTCTCTCTCTGACCCCCCCCCCTCCTCTTTCTCTCTGTCTCTCCCAACCCATCCCCCCTCCCCCTTCCCCCCTCCTCTCCTTTTCCCTCGCATACAGAACTGCGCATGGGCCACGCCGTACGGCTGCGCCACTTACTTCCAGCCCGTTTGGAACTACAATGGTGAGTGTGAATCCGGTGATAAAAGGCATTGGTGAGTGTAACGGAGTGAGAGGATGTCGGGGGATGCGCCACTTACTTCCAGCCCGTTTGGAGCCACAATGGTGTGCGCGCTCGCCTGAGCCGCCTGATTCGCACCCGCTCTCTTGACTTGCACCCACTCACAAAGCACCTCTCACAAAGCACCTCTCTCACAAAGCACCTCTCGCAATGCACCTCTCTCGCAAAGCACCTCTCTCGCAAAGCACCTCTCTCGCAAAGCACCTCTCTCACAAAGCACCTCTCTCGCAATGCACCTCTCTCGCAAAGCACCTCTCTCGCAAAGCACCTCTCTCGCAAAGCACCTCTCTCGCGAAGCACCTTGCATCCCCCCTCACCCCATAATCTCTTCCCTCTCTCCCTCCTCAATCTCTCCCCCCCCTCCCCCCCCCAGCGTGCTTGTATGCAAGCTGCAGCTACTCCTGCGCTGGCGGCCTTGCCTGGTGGTCCTGGCTGCTCGTTATCGTGGCACAATGCATCTTACATTCACCACCGTCTCTGCCCTCCCCCCCCCCTCTAACCTCTCTCAGTTGCCTATCCGCAAGCTGCGGCTTCTCCTGCTCTGGTGGCCTGGCGTGGTGGTCCTGGCTGCTGGTTTTTACCCGTCACAGAGTGACTTCTGAGTCGACTCCAAAGTCACCTCGTTTACCCATCACACAACACCTCACATTCTCCCCCTAACCCCATCACTTCTTCCCTCTCCCTCCTCTATCCCCCCCTCCCAGCGTACCTATCTGCAAGCTGCAGCTACTCGTGCTCGAGCGGCCTTGCCTGGTGGTCGTGGCTGCTCATTAGCATCGCAATCCTCACTGTCTCTGTGGGGGTGGGGCTTGGCGTCTATGTGTGCCTCCGCTCGGCACGCAGCTAATTAAAGCCCCATTCTCATAATTCTAGGAAGTGACCAAGTGTTAAAGCCCGACCGGCAGGTTGCAAGTCCTCTTTTCTCAAGATGCTGCACCTTGAGGCCCTCCTAATCGAGCAGCTGGCATCAACCGGCCAAATGCTCGCAAAGGATAACAACTAGGCTGGGCTGGGGGTCTCTCGGAACGTGGCAGTGCAAACCTGCTGAGTTCTTTGAGGGAAAAGATGGGAGGGGCTGGGTGGGGGTAGAAACCAGTATTTGTATTTTGCAGTGTGGGTGGGAATCGCGCAACAGTAATGTGATTCGTATTTTTTCTCACTGTACCGTAAGTGTCAAACAACATCCGGTTTGTTTTTCCGAAACCGAAACAGCCAACCGGTTCTCGCTCTGCAAACTTGGCAGAGGTGGCGAGGTGGCTCTCTGCCAGATTGTGAGCTGCAAAACAGGCCGCCCTGCCAAGTTTCCAGCCCCGCTAGCTCGCACGAAACAGACGCCGACTCTGTCAAACATATATATATATAGTTTATGTTTGTATCAGGGCCTCAGATTGGTTTTAAGGTACCCTGATTGCTCAGGGTCCCCCCCCCCCCCCCCCCTTGTTCCCTGATTTTTCAGGAGTACATAAAAAATTTCCGCTGAGCTGACAGGGGTGGCTAAAAAAAAAATCCTGAGTTAACAGGGTTGCACGCTAGAATGGCGCTGAACATGAACACTAGCAATTTTTAGAAACAAGCATAAAATATACATCATCTACTTAAGCATCCTCCTCATCCTCCTCAGCTCTACTATCATGGTTTTCTCCAGGCATGTCTTCAACTAGTTCCTTTCCCTTGCAGATCTTCTGGGCCCTGCCCTGTGGGGCGCAGCTATACGACTTTCTCTTCTTGCAAGCTCTCCAGATCTCTATCACGGCGTCCCAGTCTGGCTCGTAATCTAACAAACTCATGCACATTAAATCTCCTAGGCGAGAGTCAGGGTCCTAAATGGTAGCAGACTTTTTTTCTCTGATTGTCTGATTTTCATACTGGTTTTAGGGGTTTCTCTGATTTTTCAGACAGGGGCTTAACTCTGATTGGACTAGACAAACTTTTAAGATTTCTTTGAAATTTTCAGACTAGGTGTACTAGTTTCTCTGATTTTTAGACAAGTGTTTTGAGTTTCTCTGAAACAAAGACATACAGGTGTAAGGTGTATCAGAATTGGAATTGAATGATTGGTAAAGTGAGAGTACACACAAATATACCTAAGTGTTGTACCCTCTAAGAGGTAACCCTATACAATCTATACAAACATGACAAATACAAACATGTTTGACACACCCCCTAGACTGCATAGGGGAATACCCTAAACAAGCAGCTCAGGGCGGCACTACTAGTCCAACCTCTGAGACAAGGGTCTGAGAGACCAGTCAGAAGGAGTACAGACAAGGCAAGAACAAGACCAGGGCGGCACTACTAGTCCAGCCATTGGAAGAGGACACAAGTCCAGTCTGAGTATACATATAAAGGACAGTACAAAGTCAAGGTCCTAGCAAGTGAGAGGCTACAGGAACTAGACCAAGCTGTACACAGTGCCGCTGATGATCTTTAGGCGCAAGCGCCTTCGTAAAGATATCAGCTGTGTTGGCACCTGAGGCCAAGTGTACTACGCGAGCCTGACGTCGCTTCTGTAGCTCACGCAGGAGGAAGTACTACAGCTGAATGTGCTTCGCTCTGCCCTCGAGTCGAGGCTCCTGACACAGGAGGATCATGGCCCTGTTGTCAGCGAACAGGACCGGGGCAGAGCTAGGCCGCTCACCTAAGTCAGTGAGCAAGAAGGTCAGCCAGCGGAGCTCCTGTGCCGCCATGGCACCAGCGTAGATCTCGGCCTCACAACTGGACTGTGCAACAGACGAGGAGCGAGTAGCTCTCCACGAGACGGCACCTGAGCCAAGGCTGAAGCAGTAGCCCTGGGTAGACCTGAGTGTCTCAGCGTCGTCTGCCCACGAAGCGTCTGTGTGTCCAGTAAGGACCACTGGTCTGCGTCCTCCAAGCACTAACCCCATGCCCGATGTACTAGCAAGATAACGCAGAACCCTCTTAGCGGCAGACCAGTGCTGCGGTCGGTGTCTGCCTGTGGCCACAAAGCGCGCCAGGATGCTGAGAGGGTATGCGAGATCTGGGCGAGTGCAAGTCATCAGGTACATGAGGCAACCCACCAGCTCTGCGTAGGGGCCGCTGGGCTCTACCACCTCCTCAGGTACTGGAGCGGAGAGTCTGTGGTCTACAGGCAGAGGGGTGGGCTGTGCAGAGGAGAACTGAAGGCTGAACCTCTGAAGGACCTGGCGCACCAAGTGTGACTGAGTCAGGGTGATGGTGCGCGCAGCTCTGTCCCTGGAGATCTGCAAGCCAAGGTAACGGCACAGTTCTCCAAGGTCAGTGCAGGTGTGTCTCTTCAGCAGCTCTGCCTTCACGGAGGCCAGTGCGTCCCTGTCTGCCGTGGCAAAGACCAGGTCGTCGACGTAAACAAGGATGTAGAACGGAGTCTGGCCAGCACGAACGAAGAGTGAAGGGTCTGCGGAAGACGGAAAGAACTGCAGGTCAGCAAGGGTAGCCCGAAGAGTGTCGTGCCACTCACGGGGAGCCTGGCGCAGGCCATAGACGGGGCGCCGCAGGAGCCACTGGGTCCCAGGAGGGAAGGTGCCAGTAAAGCCCGGAGGGCGACGCAGGTAGACCTGCTCGTGTAGGCTGCCCTGAAGGAAGGCAGTGGAGAAGTCGAGGGAGTGAAGCTCGTAGTCACGCTGAGCAGCTAGGTGTAACAGAACCCGAAGAGTAGTCATCTTCGGGGTCGGAGCGAAAGTCTGGAAGAAGTCCACCCCCTCGCGCTGACTGAAGCCTCTAGCCACATAGCGCGCCTTGAAGACAGGCGGCTCTCCAGGAGGGCGCTTCACCTTGAAGAGCCAGCGGCCATCGACTACGTTCACCCCAGGTGGGGGAACTGCGTCGACGAAGGTGCCGGTGGATCTCCAAGATGCCATCTCCTGCTCCATGGCAGCTATCCACTGTGAGGCCCAGGGTCCCGAAGTCGCCTCAGCGTAAGTGCGAGGGGTCGGGATGTCGAAAGCGTCTGGGTCACCCTCAGGGACTAGCAGCATGGAACAGAGATAAGGAGCAGCCTCGGACAGGAAAGCAAGCTCGAACTGGCGGTCCTCCAGGACGTCACTGCCAAGGGCAGGAGCACCCCCGACAGACGGAGGACAGGCAGGGTCAGAGACCAGAGCGGTGGCGTAGTCAAGGCGGCGGGTAGAGGCGAAGTCAGCGACAGCAGCGACAAGAGCGTCAAGGCACGAGACCGGAACAGACGGGTCGGTAACGAGAGAGGCAAGGACCCGAGGGACGAGAGGACGAGCGGCACGAAGGTAGTCGGACAGCGGGGGGGGCGCAACAACAAGGGAGGACGGAGGAGGCGACGGGAGAAGGGGAGGACGAGACGCGTGGGAACGAAGCAACATAGGGTGGGAGCGCAAGACAGGCGAGGCAGGACGAGCACGGGAGGGGCGGTGAGACCAGACGTGCGACGGAGGAGTCGGGTCAGGAGACAGGGGAGGGGACACAGGAGGGGAACGAGGGGGGAGACGAGCCGGGGACGAGTCCGGCGGAGGGAAAACAGGGCCGTAGACAGGAAGAGGAGGAGACGGTCGGGGAGGAACCGACGCAGGGTCGGGGGACGGAAGGCCGAGCAGGCGAAGGACGGACACCGGCGGGGACCGCTGCTGCGGCGGCACAACGGCGACACCTGGACCGCAAGCTGCTCCTCGGCGACCACCGGCACTCTCCACACCAGCACCCCCAGAGGGACCACCCCCAGGGCGACCGGGACGAGCACCCCCAGAGTCATCGAACGGGGGCTGCGACGGCGGCGGCGACGGCGGCGGAGGCGACGGCGGCAGCGGCGGCGGCGGCGACGACGACGGCTGCAGCAGCGGTAGGGGCGGTGGAGGAGGGGACTGGGGAGGGGACACCTGGGGAGGGGCGGCCGGCGAGGACTGCACAGGCGGGCCACCAGAGGCAGAAGACTCCTCAACCGGGTCCACGGACGGAAGGGGGGTGACGTGGGACACACCACAGGGGGCGGGACAGGGAGGAGGAGGAGGAGGGGCAGGGACTACCGGGGAAGGGGTGACCAGGAACAGGGGGGGGTAACCGGGGGACCACGGTGGGGAAAGCGGCGGTAGTAGGAGGCGGACTCGTCAAAGGTGACGTCACGAGAGTAAAAGAAGCGGTGAGACGGCGGGTGGTAAAAGTGCCAGTCGGACGCATCAAGGGGAAAACCGAGGAAGACGCAGGGAAGGGTGCGGGCAGTGAGCTTGTCCGTGCCGGAGGCACGGACGTGAGCAAGGCAGCCCCAGACGTGGAACGCAGACGCGTCACCAGGGGACCCAGTTCAAAGACGGGTCGGCGAAACCTGCGGCTGCTGAGGGTGCGGCCACAGGTTAAGCTGGTGAGAAGCGTAGCGCACAGCGAACGGCCACAGAAAATGGGGTGCACCGGCATGGATCATGGAGGTGCGAGCGACCTCCATGACCAAACCGATGCGTCGCTCAGCGACCCCATTCTGCTGTGGGGAGTCCGGTAGGGTGAACGTCTGGGTGATGCCCTCCGCACGACAAAAGCGACCAAGGACACCGGAGGCAAACTCGCCACCACGGTCTGAGTGAAGACGCAAGACAGGGAGACCGCGGTGGACACGCGCAGAGACAAGCCAGGGGATGAGAGCGCCAGGCACGTCGGCCTTGCGCTCCAGGGGAAAGACTGTGGTGTAACGAGTGAAGTCGTCGACAAGCACAAGGAAGTAGCGCTCTCGACGCGGCCCAGGGACGGGGGCGGGGCCCCAGACGTCCAGGTGCAGGGTCTGCAGCGGCGCGGCGGTAGGGGGAAACGAGGAGGAGTGAGGGGCACGGCGAAGCCGACCCTCGACACAAGGCGTGCAAGGTGGGGCTGGGGAGGAGGGAAACGCGAGGAGGGAACCTGGGAGACCAAGGACGAGACCGTGCTGAGACATGTGACGCAGACGCTGGAGCGCAGGGTGACCTAGGCGGTGGTGCCACAGGAGGGTCGGGTGAGTGAGGGAGCGACAGGAGCAGGCAGCAGCAACCTGGGTAGACGCAGCCACCTGAGGGGGCGCTCCAGCCGGGGGGGTCACGGTGTCCAGAGTGAACAGGCCGGACACCGGGTCCCGGGGGAACGTGGACAGGGGGGCACCAGTGGCGGCCTCGGTACAGACAGCATACCGCTCGTGACCAGGGAACGTAGTGGTGACGCCAAGGTCCTGGAGGCAGCCGACACCAACTAGGTTCCTGGAGAACGAGGGGATATGCAGACCTGTAAGAGAACCCGAAGGAACCGCCGGACAGGGAAGGGTGGTGGAACTGCGGGCGACTACCGGACCGCCGGAGGGGTCAGCAAGAGAAACGGCAGCAGGAACAGGAAGCGGCGTCAGGGTGGTAGAGTCGCGGAAGAAACACCGAGAGGCGCCAGAGTCCAAGGTGAAGGAAAGCGAAGCCGAGGGGTCTGGCGACGGAACGACGGCGGAAGCACCAAGACTACACAAAGCAGGGGATCCTACGCCTGACGCAGCAGGGGAGGCTAAGCTAGGCACACATACACTAGGCAACAGTGAGTAATAAGCGGGAAGCACACTAGAGTCATCAGCATACATCACATGCAGAGCAGAAACAATGGCATCCATGTCCATATCAAAAATCTGAATCTGACGACTAAGCAAACTGTGCCAGTCCGGGAGGTCTGGCGACGGGCCGAAGCGCTGACGAAAGAGGTCGTCCAGGCGACGAAAACAGCGGGGAGTGGAGTGACCGAGCTTACCGCAAACGAAGCCGCGGCGAGGACCGGTCTGGATCTGGTACTGACAACGCCCGCCGCCAGAGCCACCACGCGGCACACCACCACGCGCCCGGCCACCGCCAGCACCGGGCCACCCGGGCGGGAGGACACTCGTCTGCCGCGGCTGCGACGGCTGCTGCGGCTGCTGCGAAGGCTGCGACTGCGGCGGCTGCTGCGGCTGCTGCACCTGCAGGGGCGGCGACTC